TACAATTTGGCGGTGATGAATGTGGGAGCACCAGCAGCAGGCATGAATGCAGCTGTGAGGTCCACTGTCAGAATTGGGTTGATCCATGGGCATAGGATGCTGGCTGTGCATGATGGATTTGAAGGCCTTGCTGAAGGAAAGGTACCGTAATTTCACTTCTCCATTTGTTTATTCACTCTTCTAAGAAAGGTCATTCTTTCTTTCAAAATGGTTGTGCTGTTGTTTGGCTGAGTCATGTTTCTGGCATTGCCATTCTCAAACAGCTGCTTGTTTACAGTTCATGCAAATACACACAGATGCCCCAATAATTTGTACTGAAAATTTATCTGGGAGGGCACATAGCCATGGTAGTCTGTTGCACCAAAAATAGCAGAGTCTTGTGACTTACAGCTTTTGCTTGGCATAAGCTTTTACTTGGCACAAGCTTTGTTTGCCTTAAGCCTTCCTCAGTTTCAATCTATTTATTCAGAGGTTTGGAGTATTGCCTCACTTGGAAGAACTTTGGAGACACTGCCGTGTAAATCTGAAATATCAGCATGCAAAGAGATCTTGTAGAACCTTTGAGATTGTGTGAAAGGAGTTGTAGCCTGAGCTTTTATACACTTGGTCTGAGGGATATATCTGAGAAAGTAGACCGGGTCTGTGAAAGCTCACGCTGCAACTTCTTTCACACGGTTAATCTCAAAGTTGCTGCAAGATCCCTTTGCATTGGAAGAACTTGTGTCTGTAGATGAACATGGAACCCTGGAGAAAACTTCACATCTCTAAAGAAGTGGGCCACAGTGCATTAAAAGTTATGCCAGTGGAGAGGGGGAATAAACTCCCACTGCTTATAGCCCTAATTCAGTCTACTAGGTTCCCTCATTCACCTCACAGTTTCCCAGGTTATCTCTTTCCCACCCTAAAGCCCCACATCCTCTGAAAGGAGGAGCTGGGGATTTCTGCAGTTGTCTTTGCTTTCCCCTTGCCTTCCACAGGCTGGGAAGGCCAAGGGGAAGCCAAGTACACAAAGGCCATGGTTTAGGAGCTGGCAGAGTCCTGGGTTCAAGGCTGAACTCTTGTTTGGCACTGATGAAGAGTAAAGTTAAACCAGTGACTTAACAAGGCAGAGTCTGGGTTGGTCTGGATGTAGCCTCCCAGCTGTTCTAGCACGTGTTGCTATTTTGAGGTGGGAATGGAGCTATGTCCACATGCTATGGGGAAATGGAAATTGCTTACATAGGTGGGTATTGCATAATTCCTTATGCATGTGTCCCAAAAGTACAACTATTAGTGTAACCAGGACCTCCACAGGTGTGCAGCATAGAGGATCACTGCCCAGGACATGATTCCCAGTGAGTTCACAGAATAGTCATGGGAAAACAAATCGAGGAGCAAATCCTAAGCTAACTTCCCCAAATGGAAAAAGCAAGGGGAATCCAGTTACATCAGAGGTCATGGCATGACCCTGACATTGGAGGTATGTTTAGGCCCCTACATCTTGGCAAGATGGGGCTTGGGAGAGAACCAGTCTGCCATCCCAACCTGCTTCCACAACCCTTGTTATGGCATAGTAACTGTGTTTGTTTTTAAGGTGCCTCAGGATTTTTTGTTGGTTTTGCTGTAATGGACTCACCAGAGCTTCACCTTAGGAAACTGAGCCTTTCCCTGATCTCCTTCCCCCTATCCCCAAACCTCTCACTTTCCAGGTTGAAGAAATTGGATGGGGAGGAGTTGGTGGCTGGACTGGAAAAGGTGGATCAAGCCTTGGAACAAAGAGGTATTGAGATGGAGGACAAAGAACTATCTGAGGCCATGCATGACTTTGTGTTGATGCTGTTTTTAAAGCAAATAAATGAAAAACCCAAAGTAGCCAAAATGCATTATTGCTAATTTTGAAAACTTGCCAGCTACACCTACAAAGTTTGATCTTTTTGGAAGAATGAGAATCCTCACTGCCAGTGGATGCAGTTCTCTCTGCTTCTACAAGATTCACTGTTCTGTGCCTGTTTCCTGCTTGAAAGGAGATGAACCCAGATCAGTGACTCTTGCAGAACAGCATCAGGTAGCTTTCTCCAATAGTAGATTCTTTTTCTGTGCCTGTACGGTTGAAGGGTCCAGCCATACCTTGTTCTGAGGCACAGCAGAATTCCTCAACCACAGTGGAGCCTGATTGGGAAGAACCAGTCTAGAGTAGTGCCCATTGAAGAAAAGCATCATACAGTCTCCTTTGAAGAGGTGGTTGTGTTATGGAGTTTCGGCACTAAAAGTAATGGACTATTGCTATCATATCATGAGTTGAAGCACATGAAAACTTCCCAGCCCACAGCACAGATTGCCTGGAAGCAGTTTAGGAATCTCTGGAATAATGGTGGGAGTGGGCCAATATTACTATTTTGTGTAAGGTGTTAAATGAAGAAGGTAGTGCCTTTCTCTGATACTTCTTATTCACTCACAGGACACTGCCCAAGAAATACTTTGAAGAAATCAGCAACACAATTGCCAGTTTTAACATTCATGGCCTGATTATCATTGGCGGCTTTGAGGTAAGTCTCTTTTGAGGTAGGTCTTGGACAGTTATGAACAAAACAAGAGAGTAAATAGAAGTAAGTCATCCTTTATTTTTAATATGAACAACCCAGTACATTGCCAAGACTTTTTTCCCCTTTGCTTTGATAGGCCTTTGGGAACTGGATACTTCTGGTGGAAGGTCTTTTAACAATGTGCTGCTCTGTCTGTATTTATTGCTTTTAAATGGCTGTTCTCTTAAATGACTTTCAACTCCATTGGTAGTTTAATTATATGTTAACTTTTATATGTTTTAGTGATATGAACTTTTCATAGAATCATAGAATCATAAAGGTGGACAACAATCCTCTTGCCTGTCATAACTACGCCAGAGTAAGAGGCAATGCAGTGGCTGGAGCAGGGGTAAAATGGCCACAGCAATGGAAGGGCCAGCACAGGAAATTATCTCTATCAAGAGAAAAATCTACCCTGCCAGTTCCTGGGTTGTCCACCTTTCTCTGGTGATGGAATAGCTTTCCCAGCTATCTCCTCTCCCCCAATGCATCATTCCTAAAAATGTCTTCCACTGGCATAGTAGAGTGTTATGATGGTATAGGTCACTAAGAGGATTATAGTCTTTCTTTACAAAATGGAAGTGACAACATATTTCCCCCCCCCATCTCTTTTCTTTTTGTAGGCTTTCACTGGTAGCCTGGAGCTGATTGATGGCCGATCCAAGTTTGAAGAGCTCTGTATCCCACTCTGTGTGATCCCTGCCACTGTCTCCAACAATGTTCCTGGCTCTGACTTCAGCATTGGGGCAGACACAGCCCTCAATACCATCACATCGGTAAGAGGTTGATTGGCATCCAGTTCAGCAACTTTCAATATGTGCAGAGCCAGCTTGCCAGCTGTCTAAAGTCACCTTTTTTTGTAGCAGGTGACATACCTGCAAGATGAGCAAACACTTCCCTCTACAGCGGAGCAGTACCAATTAATGAAGAAATAACTCTTCTCATAGAATGCCGGCACAGCCATGCTAGTGAGGGATGATGGAAGTTATGGTCCAATACATTTGCAGGATGGCAGGTTGAGGAAGGCTGGTCTAGTCACATATACAGGGTTGCATGTATTCTCTACCAGAGATTTGAGGTGATTTTGTTTTTAAGTTTCTAGCCTGTAAGATTACTAAATTCTTTAAGTGTGAAGGTTCTAGTCCTTCAGCTTAGAAAGTTTCAAGTGATTCCCTGATGTCAACAGTGGAAGAAAACAGTTATGCAGGGAGTAAGTAAGAAGAGTACTGGGGGCAGGGCTTCAATGCATTACACAACCTCTTACTATTTCTTACAACTACTAGAACTTAGAGATCCAGAATCTCATCAGTCTGGCTAATTCTTCTACTATTGCAAACTCCATTCCACACAGATGTTGCATTCAGAGCTTCTGTGGCCAATTTATTACCTAGTAGCCAATCTTTTGACGAGTCAGTTCACATATAAGGCTGGTCCTTCAGCATCAGACATGCTGTCTACAAACCATGGGCATGTTCCAAGGTTATTGCCCCCTGAGGAAATCCTAGAGGAATGTTCCTCAATCAGTCATTTAAAAAAAAAAATAGTCTTCATTTCTGTGACATGTTATTTTCTCATTTAATTCCTAGACTTGTGATCGTATCAAGCAGTCTGCAGCTGGTACCAAAAGACGGGTGTTCATCATTGAGACCATGGGAGGCTACTGCGGCTACCTGGCCACCATGGCAGGTTTGGCTGCTGGAGCAGATGCGGCCTATATTTATGAAGATCCTTTCACCATCCATGACTTGAAGGTGAGAACCTTTGCAGATGCTCAATAGCCTTTTATCTTTTAAAAGCATTATCTCCTTCTTGAAGAATAGGATGAACATCAGGAATAGGGGAAGCAGAGAAGGAGAGAGAGCAGACAATGCATACTTGGAAAAGATTCAACAGTGGGCCTGGAAAAAGCCCCTGTTGAAAACCCCAGAGAGATACTCTCCATAGAGCAAGCAAGGGGATGTGTGTCCTCCAGGTATTGTAGTGTAACACCTCTCAGCACTAACTGGTGGCAAGGGATCTTAGGAGTAGCAATGCCTTGAAAGGATTGATACATTCCCTCTCTTTGCCTACAGATAACACAGAGCTAGATGAACAAATGCTGTTCAGAAAATATGAGACAGCTTCCTATATTCTTTATGTCCTTCAGTAGCAGCCTAACTTGAAGATTGTAGAACAATAATTCTCAAATGTTCCTTTGAGGCAATACTAATGTTGTTAGGGAACCTATGTGTCATGAAAAATAAACAATCCCAAAAGCTACATCTCTGCATGATTTTCTGTTCTAGTTATTCAGCCAACCAAACTGCACTGGAAGTAGGTAACCTGATCTGGTCTTTGCACTAGGTGTAATTAGATTGTTGTTGTTTTGTGCCTTCAAGTCTTTTCCTATTTACAACAACCCTAAGGTGAATCTATTATGGGTCACTCAGTGGGTTTCCATGGCTGAGCAGGGAATCGAACCCCGTTCTCCAGAGTCATAGTCCAATACTTAAACCACTACACCATTCTGGCTCCTACAGTAATTAGATTGTTAATTGCTTGTAAAAGAAAAACAAGACAGAATTGGCTATTTCTGGAAACAGTTGCCTGCTGCACTCACTTTTAATGCAGAGGGACACAGCAAATTTCCCTGCCTGAAGAAGAGACTACCTTGCCTCTCTGTGCGAGTCACTTTTCTGGGCTTGCTTCTTTGATCAGAAGGACTCTCTTACAGTAGTGACTCATCCAGAAACACAGAAGCTGGACTTTTTAAAGGGTGATTCCTATTCTAGCATATTTCTAAAAGTCATCTTTTTCATGTGTGAAACCATGTACTCCCAATTTTAATTTGTAAGAAAAGTGAACCCTCACAAGTTTGGGGCCAAAGGTTCAATTAGAGTATTATACAATATTAATATCTTGATGTCTGTACTTGCAGATGACAGCTGATGCATGTAGATTTGGACCTTCATACATTTCGAGCATTACTAAAAGTGTAGATGTAGCCCTTTCTTATCCACAGTCCTAAACATAACATCAAGGGTTTTAAGCCCTCCTTCCCCCCCCCCCCCCGATAATCGTGGCTCATGGCACTAAGACAGTCTTTTCAAGAGTGCTCCCATACTGAAGACGCATCTTGGCTATCTAGGAAGCATCAGGAGCTTAAATTTTTATAGCAAAAACTATGTCACATTAGGGATGTGTTCATATATAGTTTTAAAGAGAAACATCTTCCCCACTCCCTTGCATATGAATTCTAAGAAACCATGACATTGTTTCTTGGGTTTTGACAGCTGAACGTGGAGCATCTGACTGAGAAAATGAAGACTACAGTGAAGAGAGGCCTAATATTGAGGTACCTGGCTATATGACTAACAGAAGGGGATTGGATGCTTACAAAATATTTCTTTTCTCTTATAAGGATGAAGAGAGACTGTTGTATGGGCGTTTTCTATCATTCATTAACCATGTTCATACATGACTCCATATAATTCAAGAGCTCTTAACAGGGGTCTATAATAACAGAACTTCAGAAGGAGAAGTGATTTGGAAGCTATTAATCCCATGATCCTTCCATTAAAATGAGATTGTCCATTTCTAGGTTTTTTGCATAATACTTATTTCCCTCACTTCCATGAAAGCATTTGTGATAAATGGGGGCTGTTTAATGTTAGCGTCACAATAGCCCTTTGAAGTTGGACACTGATGTTTGTCAAAGCTCATTAATGGTCAAAATCAAAATATAGCTGGGTCAGGAGCAGATATAGTAGAAAGCCATGAAAAAAATAACAAGTTAGCTAAACTCTAGGTCCAAAAAAACCAATGTGAAATTCCTTCCCAGCTCCAAATATGGCAGCCAGTTACAAAAGCAGCAAGAGTTTTCTTAGCACTGTATCATATCAAACCTACATTTTTCTTTCTTACTTACCTAATTTTCCACAGTGCCTTAAGGCCAGTTCTTGGTCACTGTAGGCTTGTCCCTCTGTCTGCTTAAAGTCATTTATTGCTTTCTCTTTCCAGGAATGAGAAATGTAACGAAAACTATACCACAGATTTCATTTACAACTTGTATTCTGAGGAAGGAAAAGGCATTTTTGACGCCAGGAAGAATGTTTTGGGACACATGCAACAGGTATATATGCTGCTCGATAATCTGAGTATACTGTTAGTACCCAAGTAGTTATAATAATGATGTTAGTTTCATGAATGAGGAAAAGGAGCTGGACTGCGATATGTGACAGGTAAGCCAGTTGCGTTCACATTAGCCTTCATTGTTTGGTGTGTTTTGGTGTAACAAGAAACTGATTTTCTACTATGTGAACAATGTCTGAGTTTACCAGTCACTGGAACTGTGATGTGTTTAAACTACAGTCCACAAGAACAATATAGGAACAAAGTATAGTTCTGGATATTGGCTTCTTTTCACCCTGCAAGCCATCATTTTTCAGCCCAACCTAACAATTTATCAGGACAGATTGGGAGAGGGCGAGTAGCAAGGAGAAGGAAATCAGAACTGTTCCCTCTGTTTCTTCTAGCAGAAACGTAACATTCATAGACATCTCCTCCCCATAATTCAGGATCCAACCCAATGTATTTAACTGAGCAATTATAGAATAAAATTTCATGTAGGATGAAATTACTATCTATTAATTCTCAGCAAAATCTGGAAGCATTAAAAAAAAACATTCAGGGAAAATGAACTCTATGCATCTGTTTGGTTTGGATCCCAGTGAGCCTTGCAGAGTCCTATGTGTTGCTGTCCATACTTATCAATTCCACCTGTTTAATAGCATTTTTTATATTTAAATTACATTTCCTCCAGCTATGATGCTAGAAGGAAGTCTTAACTCTCCCTGTACTGCTCACAGGGTGGATCACCAACTCCATTCGACAGGAACTTTGGAACAAAACTGGGTGCCAAAGCAGTGGCGTGGATGTCCAGCAAGATCAAAGACTGTTCCAGACATGGTATGGAAGAACTTTCCATTGGAGGGTTTTCCCTGTGGTAGGGTTAATCCCAGCTGCTGCAGCAATGATGCCTGGAACGAAGAAAAGGAAAAGGGGGACCAACAGAATCTGTTACCTGCATAGGGTACTCATGATGTCAAAAGTTGGCACAGCAAGGGATAGTTATTGCAATTATTGCATGATAAAAACTTTCAGCACTGTTTATAGTCCTGGTCACCACCATCTCAAAGGAGTTCACTTCTCTCAGAGCTCAGGCAATAAAACATGTAGAACAATCAGGAGGCTGGAGAGATTTCCCTTACAAAAAGGATGGGGAATCATTGCAGGTGGGACAGATCTCTGAACAGATCTTATGATGTCAAGGAATGCGGCCAACCCTCTGACACCATTGTATCACAAGCCAAAGTACTGGGTGGAACTTTTCAGTCCTGCAGTTCAGTCAAGGGATCAGGCTTCTCCCTTTGCATGGGACAAGAAGGACCAAGGTGTTTCTATCAGGTACCTCTGGGTTCACAAGTGACTTCTGACTTATTAGCTGAGCCAGTGTTCACAAAAGCTAGTTCAAAGCAGATGTTCTTACTTCACCACCTTCCTTATTTGGGGAAGAAAAAATAAACCATTCTTAGCCTGCACTTCTAGAAGCCTACAGAACCCCAGCTTCAGTGTGACTCACTCCTGCAAGTGCCTTCTGAGCATGACAGAGAATCCATTCTATCACTGATCCCCACATACATAAGGGAATCCCCACTGCCCTCCCTGATCACTGGCCAGAAATAATGATGATTCCTTTTCCCACTCTCCATTAGGGGCCAATGGGACTTTGGGAGAGGATGAGACACCTGGACACAGTACAGAAGTAGAGGTCCCACCACCACCTTACAAAGAAGGGCTAAAACCAACTTCCCAAAACTTGTGCCTAAGTTTGGACTCCAAGTCCTATCACCCTTAGTCAGCATGGCTGGATATAAACTGATCTGCTCATTCTTAAATCAGTGGATAAGTGAAATGCACTGTATTTCAGTGAGGATATCTCTGAAACATAACTGGGAACTATAGCTGGTCTAGAATATAGCTGCCAGACTGGTAGCTAGGAGCAGTTGATTTCCCCCTCCCAGACAGGAAATATTTTTATTTAGGCCAGGATTCAGTGTGCAGGATAGCAGCATGCATGCTTTTCTAGCCCCTCTTTGCTATAGTATCTGAAGGCTTCTATGTCAGCAGGGTAGTGGGTTTGCACCAGATTTTAGGTTGAACTTTAAAGGATCTATCCAAGGTGTCAAACCCTATCCCCAAAATAGGTTGTTCATTAGAAGTCTGGACTAAAACCCCAAGCAGATTCCCTCCTCCACTGGCATGAGAACCGCCAGTTGCTGTTGCCCTCTTCCCAATGCAGCCTTGTTGCTCTTGCCATTCCTAGGTCATTTTCACAGCAATGTCATGGAAGGGATTACAGCCAGCAAACACAGCACTGCCTATGGTGATGTGTGTTAAGATGGTACATGGGACACTTCACGTGCCAGCCTTAACAAATGTATGGGTTCTCCCTTAGTCTGAGCAAGAATCCAAGAATCCAAGTATTTGCAAGACATAATAAAAACATACTATTATGCAAGACATAATAAAAACATAATAAAAAAATAAAAACTAGGATAACAATAACAACACATTAAAGATCAGCAGCAAATAATTCCAAATGACTATTAAAACATGTCTCCTTTAACCATATGTTGCCAGCAGTGGACATGTCTGGAAATGAGAGTCTAAAAGGCAGGAGCACCACTCCTGAAAACACTTCTGCTTTTTAGACACCAGCCAGGCTCTTTACATAGCAAAAAAAAAAAAGTGGCACAGCTCCTGTGATGCCCTAGGTAACCGGGGTGGGGATAGGTGATGGGTAAGAACCACACTCATGGAATAAGTAGCAATAGTTTATTTTATTCAGGTATACTCATCCTCTCAAAATTTTTGCTGGGATGCTTATAGTAAAAGCAGTTTTTTAAAAAATGTCAGAATTCTAGTATTTCAGCCACAGAACTTGGTGAGCATTTTTGTATTGGTCTTTTTTTCAGGTCGTATTTTTGCCAACACTGCTGATTCAGCTTGTCTCCTGGGCATGCGCAGAAGAGCGCTTGTATTCCAACCTCTCAGTGAACTTAAACAAGAGACAGATTTTGAGTAAGTGTCTCTCCTGGCTTCTCTGTGGGTGAAGTCACTGAGTAAACTGGTCCTTGAAACTCAGGATATGGTAACTTTGAAGCCAACCAATCTGTTAGAAGCCTAAGAATCCCACTTTAAAAAATTTCTAGTCCTTATGGTTACAGAAAAAGATGGGCCAAACAAAAAATATCAGGATATAACTGATGCCCATGACACAGCACATAAACCAAGTTGTGTCCATCTTTATAATGGGGTGGGAAGTGAGTTTTGTGAACAACTGTGCAAGCTTCTCACCAATAGTATCTAAGGGCTTTTAAGGAAAGGGGGATAAGGAAGAAGTCTGCAGAAGCAAGGATTTGTGAAATGCCACCTTGGATGAAAAGGCTGTGCGTTAAATCATCTACAGA